TGTTGGCTTCTCTTGGAAGCATGGAGGAAATGATTCGTCTGTGTTGACCCTCCTCTTTATAGACTGGACACTGGTTCAAGTCCATCTGGTGGGGTCTCCTTGGCCTCCTTGATCAAGAGGTCAGATGACCCACCACCATTACAGGACATTTTGTGAGATGCTCATGGTCCCTGGGAACTAATCGACCTAGGAGGGCAGGGAGCAAAAAGTGTCCTTTTTTTCAAAAAGAATATTTACTACCCACAGGTTGTGATGCCTCCAACAGGTGTGTGGAAGTATTGGATTTTGGTCTCCATGGCTTAGAACTAACTCAGCTTCTGTGGCAATGGCTGAAATGGCTGGGTAGCTGGGCATATCTCAACTGTTACTATATTCAAAGAACCAGATAGGATTTTTCTCATAATTACCCAGCTTTACCCATTGTACAAACCATAACTTTGTTACATTTGCAGATTCACCATTGATCAAGGGAAATTATAAGTCTAAGCCCAGAGTCAATGCAGGAGATCTTGTATTAATCAGAGTTTTCCAGCACAACACATCCTTACAACAACAACAAAAAGATTTATTATAGTGTCAGCAGCAGCAGTTGTGGACGTTGGGAATTTCTACACCTAACATCTAAATCTGGAGACCCAGGAGAGTTGGTCCAGATTGCTGACTAAATCTGAAGCCTGAGACCCAAGAGCGTTGAGGGCAGAAAGGCATTGGTATTTTAACTGTAGCAGTCAGGTAGAAAGAAGATCCTTTATCTTCTACTTAGACACTCGACAGGGGATGATACTCCCTCAGACTAGGAAAGGCTATATGCTTTACTCAGAACACCAATTCAAATGCTAATCTCTTTTAGAGTCACATTCTTCACAGACACCTACAAATAATGTTTAACCAGGTGTCTGAGCACACTTGATGATTCTATCACAGGAAACATAGCAAATACCAGAAGTTATGATTTCCTAGAAAGACTTTATGTAAAAATTCTACACACTCTCTTAGCAAACAACCAGGAGTTAAGTAAAACTCAAATTCTAGTTCAGTACCTTCCCCACAGTAGACTGTGGCAGCCAAGAAAGGTATTTGTTGTCATATACATTAGAAAGACTTTCCTCAGCAAGGATTCAAAGGTAGCTTCTGCTTTGCTTTTGAAATATTTAGCATGTTCAGGGAAAATCTTCCTTGAGCATTTGCACCATTTTAATCTACTGAAGAAGACAAGGATCAGAACTGCATCCATCAAGCAGGTTCTTTGACTACAAAGATGGGTAATAGCCAGCAAATAAATTACTCTTTCTTGGTCTTTGTTTAATTGCCAGGATATGATCTGCAACACCCACATGACAGAAAACAACCATCTGTGACTTCAGTTTCAAGGGATCTGATGACACCTTTTTCTGACCTCCATGGGCATTGCATGACACGGGTGCACTTACACACACGCAGGCAATACACTCGTACACATAAAATAAAATATATTTTAAAAGACCGGGGTACTGCTTAATATCCAGTTGACTTCATAGCCAAAAGTATAAATGGATTCAAATGCCAACTCTACCAATTTTACACTTTGGGTTTAGCCAGCCTGATCCTGTTTCATTATCTGTGGGTGCTGATGGTAACAGCTTACTGGGGTTAGGCAGGACTGAGTTGGATTAAGTATTCAGTAAAGCACTGTGAGTGCTGAACACTGTTTACTAATGCTCTCTACTGTGCCACATGTAGTTGAATAGTAAATGGCATGTAATCAGCATCTGTCTTGTGTCTCAGAAACTTTTGTCTTTTAAGAGATGAATTTTGCTGCTGTTGTTTTGTCTGATTTAGAAACTGAGATCAATTCTTGCTGAGAAAGATCACAGGTGAGACCCGTGCAGCTTGGGTTTTATGTTTTTCTTGTTTTCCTGGGTTGCTTCCTTTATAATATTAGCAGATCTTAATTCATGCTCAGGAAGTAAAGCCAGACCTATTTTATTCGCTCATGATCTTTTTCACAGGTTCCTCTGGCCTTGAATTAAAGCCATTTGGGGGTTATAAATTTTATCTCCTTAACTAGATTGTAAATGCCTTGAGGATAGAAGCACCATTTTTGATATCTTTGGTTTTTTCCCAAGCACTTGCTACAGAAACTTGAATATAATACATACTCTAAAGGACATTGCTCAGAGTTCTGAGAAAACAAAGAAATAAGATGACTGATGAAATCAGGCCAATCTCACAGTTGTCCTGGCTTAGTGTGTGTAGCTTATAAGATGTTCTTTTTATTTCTATCTCTTAATGCAGGAGCTTTAAAATTATGCTTTCGGCTGGGTGTGGTCGTGTATACTTCTAATCCCAGCATTTGGGAGTCAAAGGTACAGGGATCTATGGAAGATCTAGACCATCCTGGGCTACCTAGTGAGTTCTAGGCCAGCTGGGGTTATAGGGTGAACCTGCCCCCCAAAAAGAAAGCTTCGGGCTTTAAATGAATTCTTCAATCACAACTATCGCCCTTCCTTTCATCCAGGTAGTGTCCACTAGAGGTAATTGAATAATACTAAACTAATTAGCCCCATAATTACAGGGAAGTAAACGTGACTATATTTAAAAAGAAAGAAGGAGGGCAAAATATTTAAAGTCCTCAATTCTGTTCCAAAGCTCACACTACTTGGAAGCGTCATCACAGACCAGGCAGTCTACCTTACTACGACAGATGTGATGCTGCATTGCTTTGCCATGCTTGGTTCTGTGATTATTCTTTTGCTATTATTGTTGCTGATGTTATTTTGATTCAGATTATAAATGCATTTATCCTGTAACAATTTGCATAAGTTAGTGCCAACCTTCACTGGTAGAAAGGAAAGAGATAGGTCTGGGAAGAAGGCTCAACAGGTAAGAAAGAGTCCTTGCAGGGCAAAATTGAGAACCTGAGCTTGGATCCCTACCATCCATGTAAAAACACTGGCCTATCCATACTCATTCTTCTAATGCCAACACGGGTAGGATGCGGACATTGCTAGGGCTTGCTGACTGCCACACTAGTTGAAATTTCAGGGACAGACCTTGTCTGTGACTGGCAGAATCCCCCATGTTCTCTAAACTCCATGTGAGGACACCCAGGCAAGCACATACATGTTCACACCCACGTACAACACACATGCACACAGACATAAAAGTAGTAAGGAATTTTGTTGTTGTTGTTGTCAGAAATGAAACCATTGATAACTTCTTACAAGATTTAAGGGCAGAATGATTCTCTCTGTCTCTCAATTTTCCTATCTGTCTGTCCATCTCATTAACTTTCTGACAAAATGGGATAGAAAAATATGCCTTCCTGAAGCAACCACCACTGAGTTTTGTTTTGTTTTTTTTCTTTTCCACAGGAAAGATTTTATTTAACCGTAGGAGGATATAGAGAGACAGGATTCTCGTTGCACAAGTGTATTTATACCCCTTCTCCTACAACTTGTCTGATCAGCTGTTAGTTCAGTTGCCAGAATACATCAGGTTTCTGAAAATAAACACTTTTTAAAGTCAAGACTGAGTCTAAATACATAGCAAGCAAACAAAAGGAAGGTAGATACTCATGGTGTGCACTGCCTTCTAATAGGACTATTTATGAAAGACACAGACAGGCATGAAGGGTAGCTGTGATGGGACACCATGTCAAGCCTGGAATGTGCTGTGTGTTCTTGATTACCCTGATCAGGATTTGCCCTTTAGACTGACATCTAAAACTCCACCCTCGCTCCCCAAGCCTCTAACCTGCCCTAGGCTGCTGGAATCTCTAAGATAGCAAGCAAGGCAAGATAAACATTAAGAAACACACAAAGGTGGAAAACAAATAGCCCTGCAGCCACTTTATTGGTTGGCGTCCTCCCGGGATGACCTATAATCATTCTCTGGCTTAGAAATCAGCCCCCTGTTCTTTAGAGCAGTATTAAAGCTCCTGGGCACTGAGAGTTTTGTCTCTTCTATCATTCATAAGAATTCATTTGTTTTACCATCTATTTGAATAGGGATATAAGGCTTGTTTTGTTGTTTATGTTGGGGGTTGTGGTTTCAAATTTGGAGAAAATATTGTAGGAAAACATGAAAGCA